ATCTCTCCCTGGGCTGGAGCGGGAGCGACCCGACCAACAGCCTGTGGGTGTCTGACACGCCAGGGTGGGCGGGAACAGGGCAAAGTCTGTACTTTTCTGAGGCGGCAACCTCTGCCCCAAGGCCACTGACGCACTGCTTATTCTGAAGGAATAGTGAGTGCGTCTGTCGGGAGACCATGGATTTTGCAAACCGGTCAATGACAGATGCGGTAGTTGGCAAAAGGACGCTCATCTGAATCACGTGTTCAGAGATTCAGCAGATCCTGTCCTGCCCTGTCCTGGGGGTTGAAGCGCCCCTCAGAAAGGCACACTCATAAATAGGGAGCAAGGGATAAAGTGCACCAGCTCCCTATTTGCGACTCAAAAAACAAAAATAAAACACAGTTGGCAGTGTTTTGTTGCTAAATTACACTGCAGACAGCCCACCTATTCTGAGATATCACCAAATGAAAGGCACTTGAGTTTTTTAAAAATTTTAATCCTCACCGGGAGACATGCTTAGAGAGAAGGGGAGGGGAATGGATCAACCTGAGACAAACATTGATCAGTTGCCTTCTATAGGTGCCCAACCAGGGATAAAACCTGCAACCCAGGTATGCACCCTGGCCGAGAATCGAACTGGCAACCTTTCCGTGCACAGGACACCACTCAACCAACTTGAGCTTGTTTTTAAACTTGTTTTTAAAGTGCACACTTAAAAAAAAAAAAGGCAGAAACAATCATTATTAGATCAAGTATTAGTATGTATTTATGCACAATAATAAAAACAGATTTACAAGTTAAACAGGAAATTTAAACATAAGAAGTTTAACAGCTTTTGTTTATTATATTAAATAACCAAAACACCTTTTATTCCCAAAATTGGTAAAGAATAAATAATGTAATTTACAATATGGTACAAAAAGTAATCAGGAAGGACAGGCATTCTGCTTTATACATACACTGTATATGTATATTTATTATCTATTAAACAAATTCACATCTCAAACAAGCCGAAAACCTTAGATGATATGGCTTAACAATTATTAAAAGAAACAGCAGTAAGTTCTGCTGCCCAGACCAGAAGCTCTGGAGCCAGTTATCCTGTTACAGAATGAAGGGTACAGGTTGCTGTAGTGCTTCCAAGACTGAACTTGCATAAGGTGACTTACAAATTACTATGGGGTTAGGAGAGCTTTGATAGTCAGGAAAGGTTTGCTGTGGTTTCTCTCCCCCCCACCCGAAGACAAAGTGCCCTATTTCCTCACAAATGCATCCGAAAGGTCTCAAAGTTTAAAAAAAACCCACAAACCCCACAGCAACTGCTATTCTCCTCATCCACTTGTTTCCAGTGTTTTTGTTCCATAACTTTTTTCTGCACAGGTTTGGATTTGATGGTGTGATCTAGGTAAAAATGCTATTATACTGAAAAGGAAACCCATCGGTAGTGATACAGAATAAAGAATGGGACTCTGAGGCTGAGAACCTGGAGATGTTGGAAAGCAAGTAGATCAATTGATGAAATGTTTCCAATTATCCCCGCTCACAGAGCAAGTGCTCTACACCTAGACGATACAGAGAAATAAAAAATGTCATCACAAACTTCATGTGGAATCATAAACTTTGATCTGCCTCTGCATTTTCTAAAGAAGGAAATGCTCACCACTGGATAGTCACAGTAAGAATTAAGGCCAAAACACCAACTCCCTTGAGACCAGAGACAATCTCACTCTTTACAAAAGATGAATCAGCAAAAAGATGCCAGACAACATTAGAGTGACCATGGAAACATGTCTCCGAAACTGATCTGTTCTTAATTATAACATGCTCAAATGCACAAGGAAGCCACAGGTGCATACTGAGACTATTACGACTTCTATTGGAAAGTCAGAGGAAGATGCAGGAGGTGGAAGGCTTGGGTCTTCTGAAAATTCCAGCCTTTAACAGTTACTTATTTTTAATATTCATTTAGGCTGGGGGAAAAATGGATCCATCCCCATAATGCTACAAATGACACCATTTCCCCTTAAAATGGCAAAAAAAAAACCCTTTACATTAAGTATCTGGTTGCTAGAGAAGCAGCAGAATTCTGTGGAATCTTGTGAGCTTTATTACAGGTGAGAAGAGTCAGTCTACTCTCCTCCCTAGCCCACTTCCCTACTGAATGACACTGGCCAGTCAGCTACTCCCAGATGGAGTTTATGCCAGAGACCTGGGGAGGGAGTCTGCTAAATAGCCTACAAAAGCTGATCTGAGTCTCCAGTTTTTCTCCTTTTAGATGTCACTGGGTAACAGGTACCAACCTACCAACTAGACTGCCTTGGGGTGTCCCCTGAAGAACAAACAGCCTAGGAGCTCAACTGTCTCTGGCACAGTACACACTGCCATTGGCATCACACCCAACATCTACAATGTTACTTGACATCTCCAGTCCCAGACAGTGGAGGAGCATAAGGAAGCTGGCAGTGGCCTAAACTCGGCCTCGTCTCTTAACTTCCTGCAGACCTAACAAAGTCAGATGCCCAGAGCGTGAGTGAGACAGAAAGAGAGAGAGATCTTGATCTTGTTCAGCTCAATAAGGTGCTAATTTCAGGAAGCTGATATATTGATCACAAAACACAAGTAGTTAAAAAATACTGTGGTTCAAACAATGTTGTCTTTATCTCTTAATAGAGTGGTACCATGTCCCTTTTTTTCACATCTCCAGAGCGTTGGGACTTTTCCTAAGAGTCCAGAAAGCTTTTTTTAGTGATGTTTCTGCCTAGAACCAGATCTGAAAGAAGGAAGCCACATTAGAGGAAACAACTGAAACGAAGAGAAGAAGCTATTGCCTAGAAGCCAACTGTCCTGTTTCCTCCATGGCCTGGAGCGAATGACTGTCAGGTGATGGGATCAAGAGCAGCCATTCTCCTTGCACACGCAGGACCTTTTCTCCCCTTTTCACATGGGCTTACCTCTCACTGTGGAGAAACCTGTGTAGACGGCCAGGACAGGCCTCAAGGGCTGCCACTCCGCTCCCAGTCAGGGGAAGAGGAAAGGTGAACAACAGAAACAGAGGTCGGTTCGGGTGGATGATCCTGGCTGTCGGGGGATGCTGTGGCAGAAGGTGGGGTGGTGGCACAGGTATTGTCGGCCCAACACAAGAGCACTGGATTCTGGCCAGATGGAATGTGGCTAATGGGTGAATTACGTATTGAGTCTCCCAAAGCTGAGCAGGCACAGGAGCCTTGTTAGCTCCGTTCTGGGGAAGAACTGGACGCTGGACCACTTGTAGTGATGACAATTGGTCCCCCAAGAAGGCTCACGGAGCACAACACAGGGACGTGGTAGTGCTCTAACTATACCAGAACATAGGACCTTTGTCTGCATTCCCTGAACAGGGAGTGAAATAAGAGATCACTGGGCAAGAGTGGACATAGGGGATTACACCTACACATCACAGTGTACTCTTTTGGGCCAATGAAAGGAAGAGATGGAAGAAGAGAAATGTCTCTGCAAAGTCCATTTGTCCCAGAAGCTAAATAGTAACACATTAGAAGTTCAAAGACTCATCAAGAAAGTCTTAATTGTAGTCAAACAAGTGCTTAGTGATCATCCCAATAGAGAGAAATAACATTATAGATCACCTAGAAGAAACTCGTAGATGGATGCAGGAAGGAAACCAACTAAACTGTTTTACCTCCTCACTGTCTAATTCTTAAAAAACAAAAAAAAACATTCTCCAACCAGCTTAGCAGGGTTTTTTCTAAAAGTCCATAAAGACTGCAGAAGACATGATTCATTTTCCTTCCTGTTCAGAAAACACATCTAGATAGGGAAGCACTAGGCAAGGATCAGTATTTCCGGGGTGATGGCTCATTACGCTGCCCTGTGATCAGTGTCCCCTGAAGTGTCTGCTGTCTCAGGGTGCAGATACCATTGGGCACAGCCCAGGCCAGGCCCAGCTGTCCCCCCCTCCCCCGCCCTCTTGCATCATCACTCTGCAGAGAAGCAACCAGAGTGTGGTACAGGTTTGGCAGAAAGAATGCAGCCATGACCTGGAGCCTCCCTGCAGAGCAGGGAGATTACAGCTCCCCAGGCCGTAACGACTATGCCACGGCACACACCCACTCCTTTCTTTTGGAAAGAAAACCCACTGGACTGTCCAACACAACAACCAAGGCAGAAGCATGGGTGGAAATGTGGTCATTATGCAGACCCCAATATGAGGTCCCACGACTGGCGAAGAACTGCTCCAAGGCCACAGTGATGCCTGACGTTGACCCTTCCAGAACTCGTCCTCATTTCTCGGGCCACTACTGCCCTCTGTCCATTGGGATACAGCTTCCAGCATGTTGTGTATTCTGGGGTGCAGAGATGTCTCTATTCTGACCATCTTCTGGGGGTCCTAGGCTTGATTTTTGTTTTCTCTACCTAATCTGAAGAGGGCTACACCTACCACAGTTGAGGACCTGACCACCAGCCCTCCTCTGAAGCCTCCAGGATGCCCCCACCACGAGGTACACTGTACGTTCACTGGGATAGGTCACTGACGGGGGGGCCACCTCCACTGCCATCAAACAGAACCTCTCGGCGGCTGGGCTCAGCGATGGACAGCTCCTGGGCCAAGTCGTTGAATCGAGATATATAGTCAACGCTGTTTTCATTCATCATGCACACCAGTTGGGAATCCACAACCTGTGGGCAGAGGACATAAGGCAAGACCACATCAGCCAGTGGTGGCCTGCCATCCAGACTGGAGGAGACTGGACACCACTGGGACTTCCAGCACAAGGCAAATGAACCTGGGGTGTTTCTACAGTGAAGATTGGAATAATGTCCTATCAACTTGCCATGTAATGGCGGACCAGCACTCTGGGAAGAATCTCAGAATCGCCCATTGTTTTGCACATTCACTGTTTTGACAAGTCTGCAGGAGAGCCTACTGTGAGCCCAGCACATCTGGTTGCTGGAGTCGGAGTAGTGGTTCTCTCTCATGAGACTTACTGGGGGAATACAGGCAAAAAGACAGACAAATGGCACAGAGTGAAATGCAGAAACTCTGGAGTGGCCTGTACGAGACTGTAGAGTCAAGCAGGGATATACCCAATTCCCCCTTCTAGTTAGTGGAAAGGTATCCGCCTGGTAAGTGGCCACAAGGAGCAGAGCAGCTCATAACCAACTGCTTCTCAAGTCCTTAACAGCTAACAAGCCTCACCAGACTCTCTGATTGTCCTTTGCTTGCACACGGGCTATGCCCAACATGGCTCCCTCCTCCTCCCTCTGCTAGATGCTAGATAATCCCTTGCAGGACCCAGGCCTGCGGGGCAGGAACTCCTGACCCTCCCCTACTGGACAGGCTGCCATTGGGTCTTCCCCAGATGTAAGTAACAGAGACTATATCTTTTCCCTCTGGTCCCCTGTGTGGTTTCTTCAGACCAGCAAAGAACAGTGTGGAGCTCCCGGAGTTGGAGCTCCTATAGCACAGAGATGTAAGTGGAGAATGGGGACAGAGTTTGCCATACGGGTAGGGAGCACATTCCTGTTAGAAGAAACACCAAGTGCAAAGGCCCTGGTGTGGGAACAGGTTCCGCTCTTCCAGAAACAAGAAAGCTGGGGGACATGACAGTGAGTAAGGATAATAGTTTAACATGAGAGACTCAAGTGTGTACAGTAGGGCCTTAGGTACTGGGATTTTATTCTGTGGACAAACACATAGAATATTCTCCCATACAGTCTTCAGGGTTGACTGCCTCCTTTGGTGGAGTGAAAGCATCATGACGATCAGGCATTTGTTTTACTCACTCAGTGCCTGTAGCAGTGCCTGGCACATCATTAGTGAACTGTATGATACAATGAAATAAGCAGCCTTGGAAAATTCTGAGTAGAGCTATGACCTGAACCTAATTTTAAACCTGTTATTATGAGAAATATAAAACAAACTTAAATTTGTTTTCAAAAAGTAGAGCAAATAATGACTGTCTTCCCCCAACATATCCGTGACCAGCTTCATCAATCTGTGGCCAATCTAGGCCCACCTCTCCCACCCACTACTTCCTCCTATCACTTTTGTTCAAATCCCACCATCAGATTATTTCAGCCACAAGTTTCAGACCGTACTTCTAGATGATGAGGACTATATAAAACACATACATTTTTGGGTGTATAGGGCTCTTGGTCAGTTCTTTTGATAAACAACTGCTATTTCTGCAGGTGTTACTAGCTATGGATTTAGTAGGTCATGAAGAGCACCTGTCTTTGTTCCGTGCTGTCCACCTTTGTGTGCAACAGACCACCCAGAGATCTTGTTAGAAATGCAGGTTGTGGTTTGCTGGCCCTGGGGTGGGCTCAAGAGTCTGCTCTTCTAACAAGTCCAAGGTGTTTTGCAGTGGGTCTGTGGACCCTCTTTGACTAGAGTGGTCCTGGCATGTCATCTTGGGATGTTTGTGTAGTGCCCACCTCCACAGGAGCTAGGTGCTTATAAACAATGTCCATGCATACGTGGGAAGAGAAAGAGACCAGCCTGTTACGGGACATTAAAGTCACAAGGTACTTTTTAAATAAAAGTTCTGTGCCACAGAAATGGTCATTGAGGGGGAGGGAATTTACTATATTGCTGTTTAGTTTATTTGGGTGAAATTTCTATCATGTTAGGGGTTGGCTTAGAATCCTCCAAAGCCTTCCCACAAGTTCCTCAGATCTTAAGACTCGTATCAGGATACTGAGAGCTGAGGAGGCCATGGGACGCCACTGTGTGAGCCATGTCTGATCCAGGGTTTCCCTCCAGAATCTTACTATAAAACCCTTGAGGGACACCCACCAACACCTAGGCATCCCAGCGAGCTAGGATTTGGGAAATGTTGCTCCAGCATTTTAACAACAGGTCCAAGCCCATTCAAGTGGTGTTCTAGATGTGTAATCTCACTTTAAGCATATTCTCTGTCTAAATTTCTCTTCTAGCACCTGTTATTTCGTACCTTGCCTTACAGTTAAATGTACCCATCTCTACTTCTTCAATAAATGTGCATCCTTGCAAGTCTTTCTGGCTCAGACAACACTCATACCATGTGGGATGGAGCCTGGGTAGCTACACAAGCAGACAGCCTGGCCTAAAAAAGAGGGACACTGCATTCTGGCCCAAAGATGAGGGTCATAAACTGAGTCTCGCCTGCACATCAAGGGTCTGCCATAATGTGACTTCTGTTGTCATCACCCTGACCATGGGAGTATCTGTGCCACTCCTGCAGAACCCACTCTCCTGCTTGGGGAGCAGCGACAAGTAATGACACAGGGAGGTGCTGCTTAAAGGCCCCCTCCTGTCAGGCACCAGGAGTGATGACAAAGTCACCTACAACCGCTCTTTACTCCTCTACCAATGGCATCAGCACTGCACAGGCGCAGCGTTACCTGCCCAAGGTCAAGCGGCTGATGGAGGCCACGACGAGATCCAATCCCGCTCTGGATTCCTGCAGAGCCCCACAGTCAACCCTGACAACAGGAGTTCCCAAGTTTTGATGCCTTCGGGGCTCAGCTATTGTTGTTTGCCTCCAGTTTCCCTTCTCAGAAGCCAGAAACCTGGATGTGCATGAGCTGAACTCCTGGTTTTAACATATTAATGAAAAATTCTTAATAACCAAACATGTCTGCTGGAGGGACTTGGCCACCTCTGAAACAGGGGCTGGCAGTCAAGTTCAGGCATAAGGTTGTGTACTTACCTCTGCCACATCAGCCAGGGACCTGGACACAAACGAGTCTCTTGAACTTCCATCTAGCAGGCTGGGGCCCAACAGGGAGGTGCCACTGTGGGTACCCACCGGAGTTGGCAACATCTTCCGGCCCTTCTCCGAGGAGATGAAGCTCGCTGCCAAGAGAAGGAGGAACAAGCCCTGAGATGGCTTGGTCAGTCCCAGGTTAAGGGAAGGATCCTGGGGGCTGGAGGTGGCTTCGCCAGGCCTGTGCAGGCATCCACCTGCACACTTGCACACAGTGCTTGGTATGGAGCTGTAGCCAACACAGCTTTTCTCAAGTGGGGGGCCTTGGAAGGTCCTAAGAAGCATGTCTAAGTCGGCCTCATATTTCTAGGGGCCCTCAGGACTCTGCTGTTCTATCTCCATGTGAGGTAGTTTCAATTTTCCATGATTTGTATTTGACTTGGCAGAGGTCTGTACTATTCAATGAGACTCTTATAACAGGAAACACTCATCAGGTGCTGGCTCCCTGCATCACCCAGACCAGAGCCCACATTCTGTGCTGTCAGGTGTGGCACCCACACAAGGTGCTGACCCTGTTCAACATGTGTAGAGCACAACCCTCTCTGGGGCTGCAGTCCGATGGCCATGTGCACATACTGGCTGCTCTTGAAAAATGCAAAGTATACGAATCCCAGGCATGTCCCAGGAACCCCTCCTACATAGGACATTGAGGCCAGTGTGTCTTTCCTTAACAGCCCCTTCCCATCACACAAAAGTCTGGTGCACAGTGAGGATGAACACATCCAGCAAATGTATGTGCCAAGCTGGTGAACATGCCACAAGACAGCTGGACTGTCCATATCAGAAGATTTTACTGAGAACAGAAAGAGGGAAGCAAAGAGCACCAAGAGCAGAAGGCCCCAGTACAGGAGGGGCCAGGACAGCTGGCCAGACTGGAGACTGTATGGGGAGATGGGCGTCGGCTACATCTCAACTGAGCTGTGGTTTACATCTCAACTGAGCTATGGGTTACAAGAGTGTCATGTTTGCCAAAGCTCAGTGAACTGCACACTGGAGATCTGGACACTCTCCCATATGTAAGTGGTGCAGAAAAAATAAATCCTGGAAAACAAGCAAACCGTCCTAGTGGGCATTTTGGCAGATAGCAAGGAGAATCCAGACTCTAGTCCCTCCCACCAAGCTCACCATGTGGAGCCCTGCTTGTCCCCACTGGTCTAGGATAGGGACCTGGGCGCCCCCGACAGACACTCACCAAACAAGCTGCCGAGGGATGAGTCCGTGGGGTCGCTGGGGCACCACTGGGGATCATGGGTGGGGGAGGCAATCCAGTCTGGTTGGGGGCTGCTGGATGGGGAGGGAAGACTCTTGGAACTGTCACTGCCATTTAGTTTTGCTGGAGAAAGAGGGACTCCTTCACCTGTCAATCAAAATCCTGGGTCAGAGACGCCACGTGGGGTGAACAGCACTCTGCTTCCCCAGCCTGCCACTAAGGCAGTGAGTCAGCACAGTGGTGTGCCACTAAACTCTGGAGGTCCAGGACTCTGCTGGGATCCCTGCAGATGATAAACAACACTGGTCTGTGGAGGGGATCTTCCTGTGGCAGGGACACATACCCACCTTAGGAATGACAATGGCCACAGCTATCACTGATGGAGCCAGGTGCTATGCCAAGAGCTTCACCTAAATCCCCTGGGTGCTTACAATAGCCCTGTGACATGCATGCTATTCCCAGTTCACAAATGAGCCAGTGACCTGCCCACAGCCACGCACTGCCAGGCTGTGGACTCAGGTCAATCTGAATCCATGGCCTGCATCATACCAGCAAGCACCAACCACAACAATGCTACCAGGACACCAGTCCAGGCCCTCCTAGAATCTGCAAAACCCAAAGGCATCCACCCAGATTCATGACCAACTAGGATAACAGCCCATCTAATCCTGTTGGTCTCAAGGCCAGAGGCAGTCCCACCAGACCATAAACAGCTGTAGGTCCTATCCGTACCTTGTCCACCTGTGCTGCCTCTGCTGGGCAAGGCCATGTAGGTGGGAAATGCAAAAATGCGAGTGGAATGGGAACATATCCAGCAGGTCTGGCAAATGCTCAGATGGAAGGTCAAAGGCAAATCCAGATCCCCCATCCTAATGGGAAACTAATTCCAAGAAGGGTGTGCAGAGGCAGCCTGTTCCTTACCGTACTGGCCAGAGCTGATGGCGATCTCGATGATGGAATCACTGATCTGAGTGGCAGGCTCTCCCTGTGAGAGCACGTCCTCAGGCGGGCCGGGCAGGGAGATGTCCAGCAGAGCAGAGACGTTAGGCGGAGAGAGCCGAGTGCTGGAGCCCTCTGCCAAGGGCTGCGGGGTGGAAAGCCCATTGTGGAGAGGAGCCTTGGACAACTCAGTTAAGGAGAGGACAGGTGAACCCTGGTGGGAGATGGGGATTGTTCAGACACAATGGATTAACCAATCCCCTAATAAAGAACAAAAAATCAACCTCAGCCCCACATGGTGGTAACCAAGTGATAGGCAAGTTGACAGAGAGGTGATGACCCTAGCAGGCACTTCTTCCTGTCCAGTAAGAAACACACTGGGGGATTAACTTCTCCAGAAACCACTCTGGAGATTCAGGGTTGGAAGGCCAGGCCAGGGTGGCCTTGGCCAGGGTGCCCTGGACATCTAGACCTGCTTCCTCTGCCAGCAAGATAGCTGATAACACCCAGGCAGAAGGTGAGTGCCAAGAAGTGCTACCAGCTGATTGATTACCTCCTCCCCTTAGCCCAAGAAACTGTGATCTTCCAGAACTGTCTGAATCAGCCAGCATGCAGAAGGGAAGAAGCCTGAGATGAGAGATCCTAGGTGATGGGAGGACAAAGACATTGTACGTCCATGTGTCCTTGTCACATCCTGGCAGCCCACAGCAGGGAGGCTAGGTCTGCTGGCAGGACCATGAGGATGGGACTCAGCACTGGAGACAGGTCCTGGGGAAGCTATGTTGCTCAGCAGTGAGCAGCACACTCTACCTGGAAACCCTCTGTCACTGGCTCCTGTTCAGGCCTCGAGGGGATGCTGATGAATGGATCGCTTGTACCCTATAAGAAAAGAACACCATGAATGTCTGAGCTATACACAGCAGCCAGAACTCTGCCCAAAGGCTATTAAGCTCCTGAGACAAGAGCTGTTCCATTCCCCTGCTTCCTAACAGCCAGCAGCACAGAAAACCATTGCGGTCTAGGTTGGATATCCCTTCCTGTGAGGACAAGCAAGCTCACTGCTTCCAGAGGGTGGACCGTGAAGTTGCTGCACTTAAGATTATCAATTCAAAACCTCGTAGTCCTCAGGCAGGGCTGAGCCATGAAACCAGAGGAACCAGAGCGCTGAGAGAATTGGAGAGGAGTGGCAGTCAGGGGTCACTAGGTCCACTGTTGGCCAACTTGGTTAAAGTTCCTTCTCAGATCAAGGTGACATCTGAGAAGTCTGCTGACATACAGATCTTGTCTCAGCTCTGGATTCTCCAGTGTCACCCAGAAGCCTGCTCCTGCTCCATCGCCTTCTGCTGTTCTCCCCGAGCCACGCAGTGCTCACTCATGCCCCAGCCTCCCTGGTTCAGTGACTCTCCTCTGGTACAACAGGCCCATCCCCTCCTGAGGCAAAACTAGAGTCCAGCATGACAACAGCCCCATTATCTTGGCCCACATCCCTCTGGAGAGTTACCGACCCATCCTGAAAGCTAGTGGCAACTGGGAGAAACCCTGCTAAACACTCACCCCCACAGTGGGGATGGGGTCTCCATTCTGGTGGGTGCCAGTGGAGTCCTGACCCGAGAGGGTAGCTGTCGCCTCATCTGAAGACAGTGGAGAGATGCTAGACAAACCCTCAGCATCCAAGACAGGGAGGGGGCTCCCGGGGATGATGCCGGCACTTGTAGCTGCTAAGTCGACAGCACCTGGAAAGAGAAAGAAAACTGCCAATCCAGCTCTACTGATATCCCCAAACATACTCCACAGCGCTCACAGGAACAGCCTCTCATGCCTCATTTCAAGGCAGGGGAAACGGCTTTTGTTCTCTCTGGGGGATAATGAGACAGTATGGCTCGGGAAAGAAGAAAACAGAAAATCATTCACAACCCTCGTGGTGTCTGTCACCATGCCAGTCACAGAAACTTACTGGTCAGGTGGCCTGTGGCCTGGGGCGGAAGGACCTTAGGCATGATCGGCCGAGACAGAGCCGCTTTGGTGAGGGAGGACTGGATGGGCCGGAAGGAGCCTCTCCCTGTGAGGACAAAAACAGAAGCAGCCGCATCAATCCCACTTGCCCCCACGGCCCTCTGACTGCACGGCAGGGGCTAGAGGGTCTGCTTCGCAGCCAGGCAGGACCACGGAAGCTGAGCCAGGTGGAAACCACTGCATATCCCAAATATGGGGAAGTCAGGGGTCAAACAGGCCCCCAATGAGGAGACGTTCTGGCCTCTGTGATGGCAGCACCACCGTGCCCCTTGCGGGCTGCTGAAAGGGTGCTGCCAGCACTGCCATGCCCTGGGGAAGGCCCTTTAAGGGTGATGCGCGCCCGAGCAGAGCCACGAGTGCCTCTGAAGCAGTCAGCACATCAAATCAGGACTAAGGTTCCGCCTCTGCAATGGGGCTCTGTCCCACTAGGCCTCCTGCAGATGAGAAGGGGGCGCAGAAAGGACAGCCAACAGCTGCCCGGCTCTGGCAGTAAGTAAACCTGAAACGCGGAATCACGACTGACTTGAAGGCTCAATCCCAGTATGTGTTTCGCTAAACAATTCTCACTGAAGTAAGAAAATTTACTTCAAAGAGCCCACTAACCTGCAAGACCTATGAGGGCCTGAGGTGCACATCCCAAATTCACATCTATTCCCTAAGATTCCTGACAAAACACACACACACACACACACAGAACAAAACAAACCCTGACAAGACGTTACAGAGAGAAGGGCTACCAAACTAAGCAAAGCATCCCTAAAGGGCCGCCCGAGCCCGCCTTTGAAGGAAGCTGCGTGCGTACCACCCGTCGGAGGTCCGCGCCTGCCCGCACTGCTGCCCGGGCCTGGCACAGGGGTACACTCGGTTTCTACTGGCAGAATGGACAAGGAATGCTGGAAATGTCACTCCAAGAGCCGTGAAAGCAAACACCTGCTGTCCCATAGATGCAGCCACATGCAAGTAAGGCGTGAGGAGCCCGCCCCGGAGACCAGTGCTCACCGGCTGCGGAGGAATTTGACATGATGGAGAAGGAGCAGACGTTGTGCGCCTGGTTTTCAGACGGTCTGGGAAGCAGGGTTCTCTGTGGAGGGAAAACTGCCAACAATCAGGTGATAAAAATACCCCAACGCCAAAAATCACTGAGACCAGTGAAGACTTGTAAAGGGATATTCCAGATAACAGCAAGCTGAGTGTAACCACGTGGCTCTGCTTCTAGAGCTAATGATTCACAAGGGCGCCTGGAACAGTCCGAGGATGGCTATGTCCTGCGAACCCACCAAGCTCTGAACATTGGGTCCTCTCTGAAAAAAACCCAAGGGATCAAACATATCCCCAGGGAAACTGGAGGAATGTCAGAACCATCCACTGCTAATCCAGAACGTTCTTCTGGATTTGGATGGAATGCAACTAGTCGTGTATATGTTGATAACCACTCAATGTGGACAGTTGGAAAAGACAGCCATGTATTCTGGGCCTCCTCAAATTTGGGGTGAAGAAAATAAAGTTGCTGCCTATAACAGAGATGGGCTAAGGGTATGAGGCCCTCCACCCCATCTGACAGTCCCAGTGCGTACCCCTCCCTATCTGCCCAGGCTCCTGTGTGTAATTAAGTTCTAATGTGAAGAACACCATCCAAAGAAATTATATTAGCCCTGGCCAGGTAGCTCAGTTGGTTAGAGCACCATCCCAATACACCAAGGTTGTGAGTTTGATCTCCTGTCAGGGCACATACAGGAAACCACCAATCTAAGTAGAACGACAAACTGATGTTTCTCTCCCTTCTGCTCTCTCTAAAAACCAATCAAAAATTTTTAAAATAATAAATTATATTAATTGCTGAAACTGTTACTCATTGAAGTAAAACATTAACAGAAAGTAGCTGTCAACCCAAAAGTGTCCTGAGGACCTCTGGCTCTGGGGGCACAACTGTGTCTCTACTGATGTATGAGGGACATCTATCTCCATGCCCTCAGAGGCGCCCCAAGGGGTTGGCAAAGAGTAAAGGAGGTGCTGAGGCTGCAACCTTGATAGGGTCATTAGGTCTGCTCGGTGGCGGCTGCGGCGGGGTGACCTGTTAATAAGGTGAGGAGCTGCAGATGTGCCGGCTCTGCTCCAAATGCACTTTCTGAGAGGACTAACTAGGTGAGAAATATTTTAGGCTTCAGGGCCACATGCTGTCTGTTACAGCTACTCACCTTCACCCTGGTGGTGCGAAAGCAGCTGTGGACAGTAGGGAAATAAATGACTGGCCATGTGGAAAACTTTTTATAAAAGTAATAAATGGAAAAGACCACATATTATGTGTGATTCCATTTATATGAATGCAGAGAATGAAAGTGGGTTTGTGGTTACCAGGAACCAGCAGAGGGGGCAATGAAGGTAATATGTACAGGGTTTCTGTTTGGGGTGATGAAACTGTTCTGGTATTAGATAGTGGTGATGGTTGCACAATTTATATATCAATAAAGCTATTAAAATACTTCATTAAATATACTAAAACCAAATGCATTAACACTAAATTACAGTTGGCCCTGAAACACATGTTTGAACTGTGCTGATCCACTTATGCACATATTTTTTTCAGTAGCTACCTGTACTATTTTCAATTTGTGGTTGGGAATCCACGGATGTAGAGGGCCAACTATATGCATTGATCTAAACTATTTTATACAGGGGACTTGAGTACCCGTAGATTTTGGTGCCAATCAGGTATCCTGGAATGAATCCCCTGCAGATACTTAAGTTTTGGAGGAGTCAAAAGTTATATACGAATTTCTGATTGTGCAGGAGGTTAGCACCCCTAACCTCTGCACTGTTCAAGAGTCCACTGTAGTCTGTACACACACACAAAACCACTTGGGATTTAGGATACATCACACAATCGTTCATTTCTAAATAAATTAATCTCAAAAGATTTCTAAGGGTGTAACAAAAGATCTATGCATTAATCCCAAAACAATGCATACTCATAACTTTCTAAGCCCAAAGTCATTCCAGAATTCCCACTTCGCCTCTTTTATCTTTTTATTTCCAAATAAAACTGCCCCTTTTCTCATGTGAGTCCCATTCCTTTATCTCCTATCTGGTCTGCATATGTCATCTATAGGACCCCCAGTGTTTATCATTATGAGCTATGGAGAGGTCTGGCTTCTGGCCGATCCACATACCTTACCAACTGCTTCCACTGACTACTTAATCATAAAGAGATGTTCTGAGTGTCCTAAAATATATCCCAGTCTTGAACATTTTTGGGATTCGAATCCCCAGAACTTCCTGTCTTTTTTGCAAGTGGTTTTCATGTTGTGTGAAGATTATCTTTATTTTCAGGTACAGTAAGGGTCACTGTTACTACTTTACTTATCCTATCCATGTGCAGGAAGAAAGGGGCAAGGAGTCCCCATTTTAGGTGGACACCAGAGACACGGGAGAAAACCAGTGTGTCCAGCAGCTTGGCCAGCGGGAAGCCAGCCATGCAAACTTGACCAGGGTTCCTGACCTGGACCACCAGCGGCTTCCGTAGGTGCCGGTTCTGCAACTTCCGGGGCTTTGGCAAGAAGAAATCCGACTGCATCTGTGAGGAAAATAGTGCCCAATCTCTGAGAATGTTTTCACAGCAAACATAGGTCCACAGGCAGGCAGAGGGGTGCAGTTCCTGCACTTACGCTGATGGAGTTCAGGTGCTGGAGGAAAGTCAATTCTGTCTCTTTATTGGGAGAGAAGAGCTTCCCGTGTCGGCTGTTGGGTGGCAAAGTTGTTGGGACAGCAAAAAGGCCACCATCTGAGTCACTGCTTCCTGTATTAGAGGAACCAGCCACCAAGAGGGGTCTTGGAGGGTTTCTCAAACCTAGGAAGAGAGAGGGAGGAGTGAATACAGCTACACTCACCCAGCAACATCTCCAGTGTGAATGGAGTCTACTGGGAAGAAAATCAGGAAAACTCCTGATAATCTGTTCAGTTTCCTGGAGAGGAGTTCCCTTTCTCTTAGTCCCATAAAACCTGCTTTTCCATCTTTCTCCTGCAAATTCTAGTTTCCACCCTGAGTAGATCAGAGCTCTTCCCAACAGGATAAAGAAACTTTACCATCTTGTTTGATCCTCAATTGGAAGGGCAGCTATGCGTTCATTTTTCAGAGCTAGAAGAACCTACTACAACATGTAGTGTAGAACGGAGGTCAGCAAACCCTCTCTTTAAATGGCCAGATAATAAAGGTTGCTTTGTGGGCCTACAGCCTCTGCTAAATTCTGCTCTGCAGCTGTAGTACAAAAGCAGCTACAGAAAACATGTTTATGCACCAGTGAGCACAGCCATGTGACAATAAAACTTTATTTACAACAAACAGGTTGTGGGCCATAGTTTGCTGATGCCTGGTCTAAATCTCTAATTGTACAAAAAAAAAGACCCAGCGAGAGAGGAACAGAATATATTTAGGAATCACTATTTTGGGACTCTGCTAGCTGTTTCATTATCATAGATGCTGCTGCAAAGCACCTTTGACTCATAGTAGAATGGGTCTCCTTCCCTTATTATTTACTTGCAAGGGTGTGAGGTTACACTGATACTCATGGCATCCAGAGACCAGGTCTTCTAAGCACTAGCTGGATTCTAGCACTGCAGGTGCACTGGTCTAGAAGCATCTTCAGTTCAGAAAGGACGGGTATTAAAGGGTACATGGAATTACAAAATTTTAAAAACAGAATGCAAAAAGACTATATAACCTACCAGCTAGCCCTACCATCGAGCACCATGCCTATGCCTGTGAGAACCAATTCACAGTGTCTGCTGCCCTCCTCAGGAGCTACAGCACGGAAACAGGATCAAGGTGGAGAAAACAAATAAGAGCTGCAGGAGGTGGAAAACCTGACCCCGTAGCAGCCCCATTTTCTTGAAGGCCCCTATGAAGTGCTCTCAAGGAAACAGAATCTTCGAGCACTTAACAGGCAGGCTATTGGCAACACAGTAAGTTAGAGAAAACATAATGCTTATGACAGTCTCTGACTGGAAAATAACCCTAAAGCAGTGATTTTCAACCAGCATGCCTTTTCAATCAGTGAGCTGCAACCATTTTTAAAACATGCAATACCTGACTAGTCAGAGGCACTTGACCTCTTCTCCCTCAGATTGTCAAAAAAAATAAATGACAACAGCAAACACAACAATAGCTGTCCATGTGAATAAAACAAAATTACACTTTTTTTTGGTCAGATCGGCAAAAAATATATTTTTTGGTGTGCTGTAAAATTTTAGTAATCAGTTTATGTGTCATGAGATTAAAAAGGTTGAAAATAGCTGCCCTAGAGAACCATTCACACACCAAGACACTAGGTCTTTTCAGACAAAAAGTTACTGCAGGCTTTGGGACACCCGTCTGGATCAGAGTAAGAACAGAGGCAGGACCAAGGCCTCTTGTGTGATGCACACTGGTCATCAATGCAGAGACCCTGGCCAGTGTGGGAAGTTTAAGATATTCAGGACAGCCGAGGTTCTGCAGCAAGAAAGTCTGCCTATGGGAGCAATTACGACAGTCTTCATGCCTGGTATGGAGGCCTTCTTGGGCACAGGACACAAAGAAACATGGCAGCCCCCAGCCCCTGCTGTCCCTGCATCCCCGGCAATGCCCATCTCATCAGGTCAGTCTCAGGAAGTTATAGGACTTAGCTGGGCGAGAGGAAGGAGGGCTCAGGGACATCTGGCATAGACTTATGCCAGGGACACACAGGGCAGGGCCGCAGAACACATGCATGTTTATTCTTCTACCTTTAAAATTCATTATTCTAGCCATGAAAATTATTAATCTGTTTTACTATAAAAATATTAAGCAAGGAAAACTGATGCCTCAGGAAATAGGTCAAGTTGATCCTGGTTTTATGTACCCAGTAACCCAAATAAGGACCCTGAATTAAAATGTCTCCCAGATATATAACTGGGGCAAAGGAACACAGTGGACTGGCAGGTCAGACCGTATCTTTCCAAGGCTTGTGTTATAGTACTGGGACAGCCCTGAACTTGGGCTTCTTTAATCTTTTAGGTGTAAAGAAAAACAGCCTCTGGAATATTCAGAAAGAACCAACCATTCTCAGACTTTAAGCCACCAACTCAGCAAGTTATGGAGGCTTCTGCTAACTTCACAAAGCACAATCCCCTAAAAGTGAATGGACTACCCTATGTTTCCACTGGCTTATGCACCCTACGACCCCAAAGCCCTTGGTGACAGGTCCACACTCACCATCCCCTTGAGGAGGTGGTGATTTCTGTTATCTTCACCTCCCCCACTGGGCCATGTCTGACTGGGGCCCGGCCTCAGGTATCCCTGTGCCTTCAGCCCTAGCACAGCCCCCATGCCCAGCAGGGCATCCAGGATAGTGGGGCCTGGAGTGAAAGTGGCTAAGCCTCACCTGAGGAGGGGCAAGGCGCAGAGCTGGTAGAGAAAGTCTTGCTGTTGCGAAGGGCAGACTGGTTCCGAGGGCAGCGGGGACTTCGGGAGCTGATGTTCACTACCTTCCCAGGGGGGGTTGTCGACTGCTCCTCCTGGGCGGGCCTCACTGAGGCCATGGAGCTGGCATTCGATTCTGGAGCCTAGGACAGAAATGGGCAGAAACAACAGCCAAACTCAGCCTGTGAACAATGGTTCTGGAATGAGTGCCCAGGAGCAGGAGGCACAAGAACTCCCTGAATTCAGAGGGACAGCAAAGGCTAAGATACCAGGCTTCCATGATGGCAAAGGTCAGCATCCCAGTCACTCAGCAGTGCCAGTGTTCAAAATCCCCAGTCAGGTAGGCACTCAGGGGAACTAGGCTCTCCCTCCTGAAACCTCTGTCCTCGCTGCCCATAGGCAGGTGGCATGGACAGGCAAACTATCAGGGAGTGACAGGAGAAAGGGACACATGGCTGAAAGCAGTGGGCACCTCTGTCTGCCCAGGAAGGGCTCTAGCTGCCAGAAGATGCTAAGTTGCAAGGGACAGTAACTCGCCTTTTAAAAAAAGCAAGCCTTAGATGACTGCAGTGGCTCCTTCTGATTGTGAGTCAGAGAGACATACAGATTTAACTTCTAGAATGAAACGCCATCACAGCTGAAGAGCTCCCTGCTGAGTCAAAACCGAAACCCCAAGAGTTTCATACACTGCTGAGGCCACTGCCTCCACTCCTGGGTCCTCGACAGAACCCCCCCCTTCCATCCAGCTCTGTTCTCATCCTGGTGACTTTACTCTGTCCTCATTCCTTCAGGTGCCCACACCCCAGGCCCACCTGGGGGAGCCTGCCAGTGAATTACAGAATATACGTTTTCAGCACAGCCTCACCTGCTCTGCTTGCTCAGGGGCCCCACATCTCCTCCTGTACCTCCCATTGCCCTTCAGCCCCCAGCCCTGACCCACCTTCTCCTTCTCCTGCCCCGTCTCTTCCTGCTTAGCTCATTCAACCCCACTCACTATTCAATTGCCCAGCTGAGGGCCCAGCTAGCCTCTTGTCAGCATCCTGACCCCCAGGACACTTGCTTATCAGCAGTTCACCCAAACCTCAGCAGGAGGGAGACCCAAAATGCAGTCCATCTCACATTCAAGGTCCCCATTCTCAGCTGGGGCCTCTGGTCAGTGGTTCTTACACCTGAGTGGCATCAGTATCACTTGGTAGAGGGTGTCAAAACATAGTCTATGGGGGCCCAAGAACCTGCATCTCTACCAAGTTCCCAGGTGATGCTGAGGCTGTTGACAGGGGACACACTTTGGGAACCATGGCTCTGAGCACCCTGCAATGTTTCCAACCGGCTCTCCTCTCCTCCGGTTGAGGCCAAGGCCACTATCTCAGCCATGTTGCCTCCAGCCTTCTCAGGAGCCGGTCTGCTCTGGCCTCCTCCCCTAGGGTACTGGGCATACTCATGGGTTCCCCCCCCCC